GCCTGTAATCCTTTTTTTTCAGGAGGATGAGGCAGGATAATCGCTTGAACCCGGGAGGCAGAGGTTTTTTTTTGCCGAGATGGTGCCACTGCACTCCAGCCTGGGTGACAGAGCGACGTTTTTTTTTAAAAAAAAAAGCAAAGAAAAAGAAAAGAACTATGAAATGTCAAGGTTTTTTTTTTTGAAATCTATGTTCACGCTATGGTCCTGCAGTGGCCTATCCTGGTTTTTTTTTAAAAGCACCAATCATCTTCTTCCAGTGTCACTTGGCAGGTGTTTACTTTTTTTTTACTATGTGCCACACACCATTCTGACATCAGAGAACAGACAGTTGAGGTTTTTACACATGGGGCGGTTAAGATGGAGGGACTGAGACACCAAAAATACACTTTTTTTTGAAACCCATCAGCCGTGGCAGTTGCTTTGGGGCGACTGGGGTCACATTTTTTTTATGGTTAGAAGGCTTTTTGGAATTTCCATGTCTCTGAGGTGACATCTTTTTTTTGATCAGAATGAGAAGGAGAAATCAACCAAGAAAAGGGCTGGAGAGAGGTATGGTTTAGGCAGAAGAAACAGCCAAGCACAAAGGCCCCGTGGGAACACACTGGGTTCAGTACTGGCTATTTGAGACCAGGGTGCTGAGCGTTAGGAGTGAGGGATTTTTTTTCAGTGGCAAGTGGAGATTGACTCTAAAGGCCTTGAAAGTCATGGGGTTTTTTTTGGTTTTTGCTCACTTGGGATGGGAACTGTGGTTGGCAGAATAATGGCTCCCAAAAGGGTCCACATGTTAATCCTCAGAACCCTAAATATGGTACTTTACATTTTTTTTGAAAAATAATTCTGCCAATGTAATTAAGGTTAAGGACCCTGAGATGGAGAGATTAACCTGGATTATCTGGGTGGGTCTACTGTCATCACATGACCCTTAAAAGTAGAGAACCCCTGTAATCCCAGCACTTTGGGAGGCCGAGACGGGCGGATCACGAGGTCAGGAGATCGAGACCATCCTGGCTAACACGGTGAAACCCCGTCTCTACTTTTTTTTAAAAAATTAGCCGGGCGCGGTGGCGGGCGCCTGTAGTCCCAGCTACTTTTTTTTCTGAGGCAGGAGAATGGCGTGAACCCGGGAGGCGGAGCTTGCAGTGTTTTTTTTTCCGGCCATTGCACTCCAGCCTGGGCGGCAGAGCGAGACTCCGTCTTTTTTTTTAAAATAAAATAAAATAAAATAAAATAAAATAAAATAAGTAGAGAACTTTTTTTTGATGTGGGCAGAGAAAGTCTTGATGATGTAAGGGTCGGAGAGATGCTTTTTTTTTGGCCTTTATCATGGAGGAGGGCACCATGAGCAAAGAATGCAGGTGGCCTCAACGGGCTGGAAAAGGCAAGGAACCAGTCCATGGGCTCAATGGGCAACATTTTTTTTTTAGCCCAGAGTGCCCATGTTGGCTTTCTGACCTACAGAAACGTAATTTTTTTTGCTCATGCCTATAATTGCAGCGCTTTGGGAGGCCGAGGCAGGCAGATGGCTGAGGTCAGGAGTTTGAGACCAGCCTGGGCAACATGGCAAGACAATGAGCTGGGACAAGAGGTACACACCAACACGCCTGGCTACATTTTGTATTTGTTGTAGAGACGGGGTCTCGTTATGTTGCCCAGACTGTGCTCGGCCAAGAGAAGAATTTCATGGAGAGAAGAGTAACCTGTGAGAAATGCTGCTGAGAGATCAAGCAGAATAAGAACGCAGAAGAGAATCTGAGGCTGGGCGCGGTAGCTCACGCCTGTAATCCCAGCACTATGGGAGGCTGAGGCGGGAGGATCGCCTGAGCTCAGGAGTACAAGACCAGTCTGGGCAACATAGCAAGAACCTGTCTCTAAAAAATAAATATATAAATGAATAAAGATTTTTTTTATTTAGTAACATGAAGGTCATAGGTAGCTCAGCAGCGGGGAAACAATTTTTTTTGAGAACGTGGAGGTGAAGAGGAAGCGGAAGCAGCAATCACAAAGTCTTTTTTTTTTATCATAAGGGAGATCAAACAAACATAACAGGTGCCAAAAGACAGGGTGTGTGTTAATCATGCTTTCTTCTTTTTCTTTTTGAGACAGGGTCTCGCTCTTTTTTTTTGGCTAGACTGCAGTGGCCATGTTGTGCCCGAACACAAGCAATCCTCCCACCTCAGCCTCCTGAGTAGCTGGGACTACAAGTGGTGCTACCACGCCTGGCTAATTTTTAAGAAATGTTTTTGCAGAGCTGAAGTCTCACTATATTGCCCAGGCTGTTTTTTTTCTCCTAGACTCAAGAGATCCTCCTGCCTTGGCCCCTCAAAATATTGTTTTTTTTGGCATGAGCCTGGACTATTAATTATGTTTTTTTTAATCTTGCTTTGACATTCTGGGGCTTGGAGAGACTGCCCTTCCCAGGACTAGCTTATTACTACAGACAGCAAACAGCTTGCCAAAGAACATGCCATTCATATGCAAATCAACCAATCAAATTTTTTTTTTCCCAATCATCTTCTTCATTTAATGCCGACACACAAAGCCAATAATTTCCCAGCCGTAAATCACCTCAGGGCCAGGTACTGACCAACTAGAGACCACTCTAGCGCAGAGCCTGCCAAAATTATTTCAACTATCTAACCTAAGCTTGCTCAAACTTTTTTTTCATGCCATGCCCGTTCCTTCCTAAGGAAATCACTATAAAAGTTCTGTTTTTTTTTTTCCCTCCCTCCACGGTCACCCACTGACCCAGGTGCTTCCCCATGTGGCCCTGCATGGCACGGTGTGCCCCCTCCTCTGGAGTTGTAAGTAATAAACTTCCCTTTCAACAGAGCAGTTGTCTCCATGCTTGTCATCTTACCATACCTCATTAAAACAAATCCCGGGTACAAAGCAAGGCCAAGCGGTAAGTCAAAGGAGGTTTTTTTTTTTTTTTCTTTTCTTTTTTTTTTTTTAAAGACAGACTTTTACTCTATCGCTCATTTTTTTTTGCAGTGGTGCAATCATGGCTCACTGCAACCTCCATCTCGTGGCTTTTTTTTTTTCCCCCGCCTCGACCTCCAGAGCAGCTGGGATTACAGGTGCCTGCTTTTTTTTTCAACTAATTTTTGTATTTTTAGTAGAGACGGGGTTGTGGCATGTTGGCCAGGCTGGTCTTGAATTCCTGGCTTCAAATGATACACCGGCCTCAGCCTCCCAAAGTGCTGGGATTATAGATGTAAGCCACTATGCGCAGCCTGTTGTCTTTGACTTTTTTTTTAGATAGGAGGTACTAGCACATGCTTATATGCCAAAAAGCCAGTCTAGAGAGAGAATTTGATAATGCAAGGATAGGGTAACTGGCCAGGCACAGTGGCTCATGCCTGTAATCCCAGCACTTTGAGAGACTGATGTGGGCAGATCACTTGAAGTCAGGAGTTCAAGACCAGCCTGGCCAACATAGTGAGACAATATCTCTGCTAAAAATACAAAAATTAGCTGGGTGTGATGGAGTGTGCCTGTAATCCCAGCTACTCAGGAGGTTTTTTTTGGATAATTTGCTTGAACCCAGGGGGTGGAGGCTGCAGAGAGCTGAGTTTTTTTTACTGCATCCCAGTGAGTGAGACTCAGTCTCAAGAGAAAAAAAAAAATTTTTTTTAAGGGAAAAAAAAGGGGGGGAAAAACAAAAATTTTGGTTCCTGAACTTTTTTTTTAAAATGATTATGGGGGATGAGATGAGATATGAACTTCCAAAAATCTTTTTTTTGAACGTTAGTCTTTCTTATTTATTTTTATTTTTTGAGACGGAGTCTTTTTTTTTGGCCCAGGCTGGAGCACAGTAGTGCAATCTTGGCTCATTGCAACCTTTTTTTTTTAGGTTCAAGTGATTCTCCTGTCTCAGCCTCCTGAGTAGCTGGAACTTTTTTTTCGTGCCACCACACCCGGCTACCTTTTTGTATTTTTAGTAGAGACGGGGTTTCACTGTGTTAGCCAGGATGGTCTCGATCTCCTGACCTTGTGATCCACCTGCCTTGGCCTCCCAAAGTGCTAGGATTACAGGTGTGAGCCACCATGCCCGGCCATGTTAGTCTTTCTTATAAGGTATACAGTCATTGATCACATGAGATATTCAGCTTTTTTTTTTAAACATTTTCTTTCCACAGTAGCGGTATTAACATTAATTAAAATGGTTTTTTTTTATAGCTCATCTTCTGGAAATTTAACTTTTTCTCTTTAAAAAAATATTTTTTTTAAAAATAGAAGAAACCTGGGGAACATGGTGAAACCCCATCTCTATAAGAAACACAAAAAATTGTCCGGCACAGTGGCTCACGACTGTAATCCCAGCACTTTGGGAGGCCGAGGCAGGCGGATCATGAGGCCAAAAGATTGAGACCATCCTGGCCAACGTGGTGAAACCCCGTCTCTACTAAAAATACAAAATTCAGCTGGGCATGGTGGCGCACACCTGTAGTCCCAGCTACTCAGGAGACTGATGCAGGAGAATCACTTGAGCCTGGGAGGAGGAGGTTGCAGTGAGCTGAGATCGCGTCACTGCACTCCAGCCTGGTGACAGAACAAGACTCTGTTTCAAATAATCATAATAATACAAAAAATAAATTATCTGGGTGTGGTGGCATGTGCCTGTAGTCCCAGCTGCTAGGGAGGCTGAGGTGTTTTTTTTGCTTGAACTCAGGAGGTCAAGGCTACAGTGAGCTGTGATCACACCATTTTTTTTCAGCCTGGGTGACAGAGTGAGACCCTGTCTCATAAATAAATAAATATTTTTTTTAAACAGAGATGGGTTCTCCCTATGTTGTCCAGACTGGTCTCAAACTTTTTTTTTCAAGTAATCCTCCCACTGTGGCCTCACAAAGTGTTAGGATTAAAGGCATGAGCCCCTGTTTCTGGCCTGGAAACTTAATTTTATTTTATTTTTATTTTTATTTTTTTTGAGACGGAGTCTCGCTCTGTCGCCCAGGCTGGAGTGCAGTGGCCGGATCTCAGCTCACTGCAAGCTCCACCTCCTGAGTTTACGTCATTCTCCTGCCTCAGCCTCCCAAGTAGCTGGGACTACAGGCGTCCGCCACCTCGCTCGGCTAGTTTTTTTTTTGTTTTTTTTGTTTTTTTTTTTTTTTGTATTTTTTAGTAGAGACGGGGTTTCACCATGTTAGCCAGGATGGTCTTGATCTTCTGACCTCGTGATCCGCCCGTCTCGGCCTCCCAAAGTGCTGGGATTACAGGCTTGAGCCACCGCGCCCGGCCTGGAAACTTAATTTTAACAATAAGAGGAAAGAAAATGAAGTTGGCTCTTCTGCTTCTGCAAAGGCTCTAAGTTTTTTGTTTTTGTTTTTGTTTTACCAGTTTTCTCCTTATAAAATATTTTACTTTAGATACAGTAGAAAGCACTTTTTAATGCATACAAAGTAATTTCATAGTTTCTGTGGCTTATTAGGAAAAGAAAACAAGTTCCCAAGCTTTGAGCATGTGCTTGAGCTAGCAGCGATCAAGTAGCTGCTGCAAATCAATGAGGTAAAGAGGACTGACTAGTGAGAACTTCCCCAAGGGGATGAAATCACTTACTTGGTAGACATACCCTAAGGAAACCCCCAATGAGTCATGTCCTTGTATAATCCTTTTTCCTTGAGTTCAGGAAGTACCTGTGACTTGCAATGTGCCAAAGGTGATGGTATCATCTCTGCCATGGTTAAGTTGTTATCTAAGACTCCACCTTAGACGACTAGGGAGTCACCCACTGGCACCAGCTGCCATATCATGAGAGCTGGTGGCAGCAACCGCAGGCAGCCTCTAGAGCTGAGAGCAGCCTCAACTGACAGCCAGGAAGAAAGCAGGGACCTTTGTACTTCAACTGCAGGAAGTGAATTCTTCCATCAACCATGCCACACTGGGAGAGAACCCCACACTCTGGATAGGAACGTAGCCCAGCCAACACCTTGACTGCAGCCCTATGAGACCCTGAGCAGAGGACCTAGCTAAGCTGTGCCCAGAATCCTGACCCAAGGAAACTGTGAGATAATAAATATCTGCTGTTTTAAGCTGCCAGGCTTGCGGTGATTTGTTATAAAGCAATAGAGAGCTGATAATGAGATAGACTGGAAGCCAGAGAATGGGGACTGTGGGGAGAAAAATGGGGTTGGTGCTGGTATGTCTAACAAGTATATGACACGTTATGGCCGGGTGCAGGGGCTCATGCCTGTAATCCCACACTTAGGGAGGCTGAAGCAGGTAGATCACCTGAGGTCAGGAGTTCAAAACCAGCCTGGCCACCAGCCTGGCCATCATGGTGAAACCCCGTCTCTACTAAAAATACAAAAATTAGCCAGGCATGGTGGCACACGCTTGTAATCCCACCTGGGAGGCTGAGGCATGACAATCGCTTGAAATCGGGAGGTGGAGGTTTCAGTGAGCCAAGATCGTGCCACTAAACTCCAGCCTGGGTGACATAGCAAGACTCTGTCTCAAAATAAACGAACAAACAAACAAAAACACAAAAAACACAAGTATATGACATATTCTACCAAATCCACATATCTGAATTTTTTTGTTTGTTTTTGAGAGTCTTGCTCTGTTGCTCAGGCTGGAGTGCAGTGGCATGATCACAGTTCACTGCAACCTCTGTCTCCCAGCTTCAAGTGATTCTCGTGCCTCAGCCTCCCGAGTAGCGGTGATTACAGGTATACGCCACCACTCATGGCTAATTTTTCTATTTTTAATAGAGGCGGGGTTTCATCATGTTGGCCAGACTGGCCTGACTTCAAGCGATCCACCCACCTCAGCCTCCCAAAGTACTGGGATTATAGGCGTCAGCCACTGCGCCCGGCCACATATCTGAGTTTTTAAAAATGCTAATATTTATGAGATAAAATTCCAAAAAAAGGAAGAACAGTAAATCTTTTCAGTTGACTTCCAAAGAGTCTTCTAACCTAAACAAAAACCAGAAAAGCCCAAAACCAAAATTCTGAATATCATTTTTAAACCAATACTCAAAATCTGTAGCAAAACAATTGAGAGTCATATAGAAAATGCCAGAAAGTGAAAGCAAAGAGCTTGATCCCACTTCAACTTCATTTATTCAGTATTTATGGGACAGACATTTATTGTGGAAGAGAACCATATGCTGGTCCTTGTATAAGGGCTAAGGAACATGAAAATGAATAAAAACATAATCCACATTCTGGTATCTACCAACAGGATGTTTTAGCTGATAATTATAGCTGTAATTTACTTTCCCAAATTATGGAAGAGTCTGCTTTCCTCAGCAAGGTATCATTTTAAATTACTTGGGAATTTGATTTAAAGATATATTCAGAGATTTCAGTCCCCATGGAATAGAATACTACTTGAAAAAGCCTTCCTGAAAGCAACAATGACTCTAACACCTTAACCAAAGATAGACTAGATTATCCTTGATTATTCTCAGTTCTAGAAGGATTATTTTAGCTGACAAAAGCCGTCAGCAATATTATACATCTCCTGGAGACAGATCTAGGTACAAACAAAAATCTAGAAGATATGTTTCCTGCTCTCAAGAAATAAAACTGCGGGCCGGGCTCAGTGGCTCATGCCTGTAATCCCAGCACTTTGAGAGGCCGAGGCGGGCAGATCACTTGAGGTCAGGAGATTGAGACCAGCCTGACCAATATGGTGAAACCTCGTCTCTACTAAAAATACAAAAATGAGCCAGGCTGTGGTGGCGAGTGCCTGTAATCCCAGCTACTCAGGAAGATGAGGCAGGAGAATCACTTGAGCCTGGGAGGCAGAGGTTGCGGTGAGCTAAGATCGTGCCACTGTACTCCTGTCTGGGCAAGTGAGACCCTGCCTCAAAAAAAAAAAAAAGAGAGAAAGATAACTGAACTCCAGCCTGGGCAACAGAGTGAGACTCTGTCTCAAAAACAAAACAAAACAAACCAGTACAAATACCTTAGAAAGGTCAGAATACTTTGCAAAGTACAAAGTACTCACGCTGTACAAGTCTGGAACAAACCGCACTCTTACTCCTCACCTGGCAAGGAGTTCAAAGCCATGCTTGGTAGGACGGCAGCTGAGGCAGGCAGTCACCCCCGAGTCTCCCTTCCAAGGTCACATCCACCACTCATGCCTGATGGAACCGCAATGCATGCCTTCATGCTCCACACCCGCCTTGCATACATGCTTGCACCAAGCCTACAATGCCACACCCACTTTCTTTGCCTAGGCAAAGCCTCAAGTCCAGATCTTGGCCGTCTCCTCAAGGCTCCTTGTCTCCCGCCTGACTTCAGTTAGACTCCGGAGTCATGCACTCTGATTGCCCATGCTCTACAAGCTCTAGTCTTGCTGAAGGGCTAACTCCTCATTGCCCTCTCTGGTCCCCTTGTCACCGCACTCTCCGATGTCTGCCTCTCCAAAAAATGAATCTCTTTTCAGGACTCACTGCTGCATTTCCACGCCCAGCACCAGACCTGGCACAAAATACATGTTTATTGAATAGATGATATTTAATTTGTGATAATGTACTTTTAAAAGTGTCCTGTAAAGCCCGAGTCTGACTGTCTGATCTCCCACGGCACCCAATCAGCTGGGCTCTTCTGAGCAGGAAGCAAGTCAGATTTCAGTGAGTTTTGTAGGATGCCTGGGAAAAGCAGAGGCAGGTGGCAGGCAGTATAGCCCCAGAGTTCAACAGAGCATGCCCAAATCTCCATCCAACTATGCTCCAGTTATCTGGCCACTTGATTGCTTATCGAGAAACACAGTGAAGAGCCAGGTGCGGTAGCTCACACCTGTAATCCCAACACTTCGGGAGGCTGAGGTGGGCGGATCACCTGAGGTTGGGGGTTCGACACTAGCCTGAACAACATGAAGAAACCCTGTCTCTACTAAAAATACAAAATTAGCCGGGCGTGGTGGCGCGTGCCTGGATTCCCAGGTACTCGGGAGGCTGAGGCAGAATTGCTTGAACCTGGGAGGCGGAGGTGCGGGGTGAGCGGAGATTGCGCCATTGCACTCCAGCCTGGGTAACAAGAGAGAAACTCCGTCTCAAAATAAATAAATAAATAAATAAAATAAAAAAAATAAAACCAACACAATTCAAGCCAGGCAAAGTGGCTCACACTTGTAATCTCAGCACTTTGGGGAACCCAAGGTAGGATGATCATTTGAAGTCAGGAGTTCGAGACCAGCCTGCCCAACATGGTGAAACCTCGTCTCAACTAAAAATACGAAAATTAGCCAGGTGTGGTGGCACACGCTTGTAATCCTAGCTAATCGGGAGGCTGAGGTATGAGAATCACTTGAACTTGGGAGGTGGAGGTTGCAGTGAGCCAAGATTACACCACTGCACTCCAGCCTGGGTGACAGAGCAAGACTCCGTGTCAAACAACAACAAAAGCCAACACAATTCAACTCTTAGGAACAGTACACCAAAGACAGCAAGACTCCTCTGGCACTAGACCAAGTCAAGCTAAGCATGTTAACCTAACAGCATAACTAAAGCCTGCAAACAAGGTAAGAAGAAAGCCTACAAGGCACGAAGTCAACTGGCATCTAATTAATCTCCTTAGGGATAGTGAAAAAGAAAATTTCAAATATGAAATCCTGCTTCCCAGGTTTGGACTGATAGATCCTCTCATGCTAATGCTATCTGGCTCTCGGAAATTCCACATCATAAATTCCCTCTAGAGCCTTTGCATTCTTTGAGTGGGTGTGCAGAAGGCTGAATGCTCACTGACATTTTTTTTAACTATGTATGAATATAAGGTTAGAACATACATAAGTATACATACTTTATAAGTATATATGTTCTGACCTTATATTCCTTATTACAAAAGTACCAAGCCTAGGGGAACACATTTCAGGTATCAGTTCATGCCTTGCCTCTTCAGTAAGTTTAAAGGATAGTCAAAATCACTTCATTATCTCCCCTTCATAATAGGAATTTAATCCATATCTCAGCAAAGTCAATCTGCAGAAATATTGGAGGGACTAAGAAAGTTATGCAAATCTCTACTAGTCGAGGTCATATTAGTAAAAATCAAATCAAAAAGAGAAGGCCGGGCACGGTGGCTTGCACCTGTAATCCCAGCACTTTGGGAGGCCGAGGCAGGCAGATCATGAGGTCAGGAGTTGAAGACCAGCCTGGGCAACATGGTGAAACCCCAAAGTGGCTCACACTTGTAATCTCAGCACTTTGGGGAACCCAAGGTAGGATGATCATTTGAAGTCAGGAGTTCGAGACCAGCCTGGCCAACATGGTGAAACCCCGTCTCTACTAAAAATACAAAAAACTAGCCGGGCGTGGTGGCGGGCGCCTGTAGTCTCAGCTACTTGGGAGGCTGAGGCGGGAGAATGGCGTGAACCCGGGAGGCGGAGCTTGCAGTGAGCCGAGATCACGCCACTGCACTCCAGCCTGGGAGCACAGCGAGACTCCGTCTCAAAAAAAAAAAAAAAAAAGAAAAGCTATGCAGGCACTGTTGGGTTGCCTAAAACCAACTTCTAAATACATTTTTGGTTTTAGCTATGCCATCTCACACACCACACTGCTTGCTCCTAAAACATGTATAACAGTAAGCATTCAGAATGGGTGGGATGGCTCATGACTGTAGTCCCAGCATTTTGGGAAGCTGAGGCGGGAGGATAGCTTGAGCCCAGGAGTTCAAGACCAGCCTGGGCAACATAGTGAGACTCTGCATCTACAAAAAAATTTTAAGGCCGGGCACAGTGGCTCATGTCTGTAATCCCTGCACTTTGGGAGGCTGAGGCGCAGGCAGATTACCTGAGGCCAGGAGTTCTAGGCCAGCCTGGCCAACATGGTGAAACCATGTCTCTACTAAAAATACAAAAATTAGCCGGGCATGGTGGTGCATACCTGTACACGCCCGTAATCCCAACTACTCGGGAGGCGAGGGTTGCAGTGAGCTGAGATTGCACCACTGTACCCTAGCGAGGGCGACAGAGCGAGACTGTCTCAAGAAAAAAGCAAAACAAAACAAAACAAAACAAAACAAAACAAAACAAAACGCCCAGGTTTGAAGAGACAGCTATATTTTCCTTCTGTAAATAAACGTATGGCAACAAAACATGTTGAGAGGGCCTCATGTCTGAGATGAAAAATTCCTTCTTGCTAAACAGTTGAGTTCAACTGACTGCTGGAGTGATGAAAGGGGTGACTGGCACATTGAGAGTGGAGAGGATCAGAAAGATTTGCAAAAGCCTCACAGGATCAGTTGATCAGAAGAGACAATCTGCTTCCCAGCCCAGGCTGGTAACCTACCAGGCTGCAGGGTTTACTGTGAGGAGCCGTATTTCCTCCAGAGCGGGGGAAGTGGCCCATGTGAGGATGGAAGATTGTTGTCTGGACTTGAGTGAACTTTAAGGCTTTGAGTTCATCTAAAGGCTAGGTCCAAAGAAATGAGGGAGATTTGAAGCTTCCAAATTCTCAAAATAAAAGCCCCAGGGGTCATCCTAACTCAGAAAGAGGCCAGAAACCAGGAACCAGTTACCTAACACCTGTGTTATCAAGCATGAATAATGCCCCCCACCACACTATTTAGTTTCTTTTTTTTTCTCTATCGTTCAGGCCGGAGTGCAGTGGCACGATCTCGGCTCACTGCAACCTCCGTCTCTCAGGTTCAAGTGATTCTCCTGCCTCAGCCTCCCCAGTAGTTGGCACATACTACAGGCGGGTATCACCACACCCAGCTAATTTTTGTATTTTTAGTAGAGACAGGGTTTCTCCATGTTGCCCAGGCTGGTCTCGAACTCCTGAGCTCAGGTGATCCTCCTGCCTCAGCCTCCCAAAGTGCTGGGATTATAGGCGTGAGCCACTGCACCCAGCCTAATTTCTTAGCCTTAAATCAAAAAGAGCTGTCTTTGAAAATGGTGAAGAAGTAACTGGCTGGCCAGGCGCGGTGGCTCATGCCTGTAATCCCAGCACTTTGGCAGGCCGAGGCAGGTGGATCACCTGAGGTCAGGAGTTTGAGACCAGCCTGGCCAACATGGGGAAACCACGTCTCTACTAAAAAAAATACAAAAATTAGCCAGGTGAAACCCCGTCTCTACTAAAAAAAATACAAAAAGTAGCCAGGTGTGGTGGTGGGCGCCTGTAATCTTAGCTACTCAGGAGGCTGAGGCAGGAGAATCTCTCGAACCCAGGAGGCGGAAGTTGTAGTGAGCTGAGATCGCGCCACTGCACTCCAGCCTGGGCGACAGAGGGAGACTTCATCTGAAAAAAAAAAAAAAAAAAAAAGGAAGTAACTGGCTGCATTCCATTCTAAATCTAAAGCCTATCTAGGGAAACTAGAATCTCAGGAGATTGCTACAAGGAAAATACAGCAGCCTTGAGGCTGTGCTGGGCCTGAGGAAGGCCACATCTGAGCAGAGTTCACCCCTTAAGCAGTAATATCCCAGTCTGGAAAGTACAAAAGTAGCTTCCAGGACACACCCAAAGCTCTGCCTCTGTGGTGACATTCCTGGGTGTGTCAAATTCATCTTCCCCCTTTCCCAACTCCTACTAATCCCTCTAGAATCTCCTCAGTGTCATGAAACTGTCCTGAATGCAAAGTGCTAGGCATTGATCCTGGCTCTGGGAACACAAAGTATAATGAAGCCACTGCTCTCCGACTAGCCTAACAGACAGGGCACCACGGAAGGAACCCTCTCCGGGCACAGCTCTCCTGTGCTAGCAATTACCTCTACACAGCACATTCCTGTTATAACAATTATTTACAAATTGGTCTCCCACACACCCTACTTCTCAATGAGCGCCAAGAAGGCAGAGAACATCTTAGCCATCTTGTTTCTCTAGCACCTGGTACAATGCTCCAAAAAGAATAAAAATACTGGTTCACGTCTGTCATTCCAGCACTTTGGGAGGCCGAGGTGGGTGGATCACTTGAGCTCAGGAGTTCAAGACCAGCCTGGACAACATGGTGAAAACTCATCTCTACAAAAAATACAAAAATTAGCCAGCCATTGGTGGTTTGAGGCTGTAGTCCCAGCAACTTGGGAGACTGAGGCTGGAGAATCACTTGAACCTGGGAAGCAGAGGTTTCAGCAAGCTAAGATCGCACCACAGCACTCCAGCCTAGGTGACAGAATAAGACCCTGTCTCAAAAGAAAAAAAAAACAAAACCACGGCTGGGCGCAGTGGCTCATGCCTGTAATCCCAGCACTTTGACAGGCCAAAGCAGGCAGATCATCTGAGGTAGGGAGTTCGACACCAGCCTGGCCAATACGGTGAAACCCCATCTCTACTTAAAATACGAAAAATTAGCCGGGTGTGGCGGTGCACACCTATAATCCCAGCTACTCGGGAAACTCAGACGAGAGAATCACTTGAACCCAGGAGGCAGAGGTTGCTCACTAGCCAAGATCGTGCCACTGCACTCCAGCCTGGACAACAGAGTGTGAGACTCTGTTTCAAAAAAAAAACCCAACAAAAACAGCCAAACAAACAAAAACAAACAAACAAAAAACCACAATGAAAACAGTTGGAGGGGCCAGGCGCAGCGACTCATGTCTGAAATCCTCGACCTTTGGGAGGTTGAGGTGGGAAGATTTCTTGAACTCAGGAGTTTGAGACCAGCCTGGCCAACATAGGGAGATCTAAAAAAATAGAAAGATTAGTCCAGGCATGGTGGCTCATGACTGTAATCCCAGCACTTTGGGAGGCCGAGGTTGGTGGATCATTTGAGGTCAGGAGTTCAAGACCACCCTGGCCAACATGGTGAAACTCCGTCTCTACTAAAAATACCAAAAAAAATTAGCTGGGCGGTAGTGGCACATGCCTGTAATCCCAGCTACTCAGAAGGCTGAGGCAGG